TTCTTCAGCATGGCTTAGAGTAGCTAGAAACACAAATGATTTGTGCAGCCAAGCGTGCTAACAGCAGAGGTTGATGTAATTGCAATGAGTTGAGCCGGCCTTGTGTGTTGAAGCATATGTGTTGCAAACCCCAGAAGTATGAACTCAAATGGATGGTTACAATCAGAAAAGAAGCAGACCGTATTTTTATAGTGAGTTATGTCTGTGTAATCTGACTGAGACAATTTGGGTTAAATATACATAACCATGAACTGAATTTGTTTGTGTGTCTTCCTGGTCATATCACCTAATCTATGGACAAAACCATTTTCTCCTGTGGTCAATTTAGTGTCTGAAGTGAGCCCAGCACATTCTCAGTTGCCATGTGAAGCAGGCATGTTCTTGCTGATCTTGCCATACCGGCAGCAGAAAAGAAATGCTATCTTAACTTGAAAGCTAAAGACATCCACTCTATATCTTGGTGGGTGCAAAAACTTTTTCAATATATTAATTTAACCATCTTTTGACTGCAGCCATACTTTAAGGACTTCAATGATTTAATTTTTTTGGTGAATGAAAGCAGTGTTAACAGTGCTGCGGTCCACAACTACAAAGCTAAGAGGCAATTTGGGATAATCAAAAAACAACAACATCTAAAGAGATATTTTTCAGGTCTATGTCAGATCCTACAATATAAAGCACGTCATCATAGCATGCCTACCTTTCAGCTGTCAGACCATATCAGCATCTGAACCACCATAAATAACACACCCAGGACAAGCCAGATGTGCTGGTATGAATGACCAATTTGTTATTGTTACAGAGAAGCCAGATCAGCATGTGGCAAGGCACTTTAGCACTGCAGATCACTTTGCCATCTCTTGGTACATCAGACAAGAATGATCAAAATCAGGAGTACGATGATCATTTCTTACAGTCTGCTGTCAGGCAAAGCCGTTTTTGCACAGTTGGGCACGTGATCCTTCAGCTCTGTAACATTAGGAGCACAAGCTTGCAAACGTGCATTTTGTATTGAACCTTGCACACTGCAACCCTAAAACCTGACAGCGGCCTCTGAGCAATGCCAAAATACAAGCAGGCAAGTCCAATCATAATCCTTTGCAGGATGCTGTGCTCTGCAGTCATTTCCTGCTTCTCACATGTAAAGGTTACAGACACAGCTAAAGAGGCTGAAATGGTCTTTATGGCTTGGCACATCTCTAATAAAAAAAAACCCTTGATCATACGAAGAAAGGGACAGTTCTGGGATATAAATACTGCAGAAATTGGGAACTCCTGTGGCAGGCAGAACATCTGTTTATTACATTTTCCAGTGTTTTATTTTCAGTTGCCCATGACAAAGAATCAGAACTTTTACCAGTGCAAACCGTGCTCAGTCATAAACACAACACTATCCTTTTAAGGTACCTTAAGCATTATAAAGCAGCAGCTTTATTATAGGGAAGTGACAGAGAGTCAGAAAGCAGGGCATAGAAAAGACAGTTTGAGAACAGGCCACCATTTATGAAGAAAGTATTTTACTTACAGGTGAGAGGATTTATTTCGTGTGAACATAAATACTTTAAGCACCACGAAGGAAAATTTTGAGAAAAGCTTCTTGTGGTAAAGCAATCTGCACTAGAGTCCTCCACAAAATCCCTACAACAATATTAACCTACTGACACTCATGTCGAGGAATGAGTTTTGGTAACATAAACTTCACTCTGTGTTGTACGTTAGCGCAATATCACTACTGAACGAGAAAGAGGATGTGTTGCAAAAAATTTTATTGTTAATGGGAAAATCAGAAAACACCACATTCAGCAGTGAAGTCCATAAGGAAATTCACTTGAGGCCACATCCAAGGTATTACTGTCCTTGGTTTAATCTTCATTTTATGTGCACCACTGAAAAGTGTTACACAGTGAACTCACTTCACTGTAATGCAATGCTGTTTTATTAAATATACCTTTGATAGGTCTCTGGGTCAGCCAAAGACCTCGGAATGAGGCAAACATAAAGCAAAGCAGTCATTCAGTAGAATGAAGGTCCTACTCAAACTCAAAACAAACCAGAGCAAGGTAGCTCTAACCAGAAAGAGCACTGGTTGGACCTGCTGAGAAGGAACCGAATATGAGATTAGAAAACCAACCTACAGCCATTTGCATGACTTATTGCTCCCCAAATTCTTGCATGCTGGAGACGGGCAACCAGCTTCTCCACAGAAACTCTCTCCCAAAACACTGGTGTCCTGAGCATCCATACAAAAAGAGTTTCATCAAGGCCCTAGAATAAGGCAGCAAGGCCAGAGCAGACCACTGTGAGTGTCCGCTGCTGCCTCTGTCCTAAATATAAAGCACATGAGCCAGAGCAAATTAGACCAGAAATATTAGACATTAATGCCACCTCTCCCAACACTAATGATTTGTCAAAGTGCATGACATTAATTGCTTCAATGGGGGAAAAATGTCCCAATGCATATTCTTCCCATAATTCCAGGAAGGTTACTGAACTGGCTGAACCTTGACCTTCCAGTATCTAGAGTTACAGTAGGAATCAGCAGAAGAGTGGTGGCAATGGGAATTTCCTGTTGAAAGGAAGGGAGGGCTTAGCTGAAGAGAGATGTACAAGAAACGCTCCTACAGCTCCTGCCTCTGGGCAGGGCGATCTCTACATTTGCTCCAGACACCGAGACAGTTAAAAGTACAGCATATAACCAAATGCCACAGATTTTCCTTACATCCTACTTCACCAGATGCTATCATTTATGAGGGGAAAAAAGGGTCACAGAGAGCCCCGGCTAACTCCTAGCTGTTCCTGTCCTGACCACTTTAGCCCATCCCTGTAACTACTTGTCTTCCACTGGGAATTCTCAGTCCCCTCCTGGCTCACTGGTACCAGCACTTGTGGCGTCCACTGGATATGTCAAAGCTGACATTCTTGATTGTATTCTAACATGTGTTGGGTAATGTGACTGCATTTGCTCCTGTGCACCCAATAAATTTGCCATGATATTTAAACCCAACCACATCTAGCATCAAAAGTCCACAACCAAGAGCAGCAGTGCCTAAACTGGATTTCTACAACTTGTATAAATATATATATTTCTAAACACAAAGACTAATTTAGACATGGGGGATTACTTACTGTTTCATACTAATCTATTCAGCTCTACTATTAGAAATAGCAAACGGGGAGGTAGGCTTTTTTAAGCAGGCACCTTGCCTATATGTAGTAAAGAAAACAGAAAAAGCAGCTTTTCACAAACCAGAAAACATCCCACTAGCAAAGCAAACCCACACTACCTCTCCCTCACTTCAAAATCAAGACCTTAACATGTCCCAAATAGCTGCACAGTTAGGATATTTTTAAGGCACAGATGATGAATTTGAAGCCCATCAAGAGGGCTGTTCCACAGACAGGATGTAACATGGACTGTTTGGCATAAATAGAAAGATACCCTAGGAAAATCTTAATTCCACTAGATACACTAGGCATTAACACAGACAGTTTGTTTTGACTACAAAATGTTTGTAATTTGAGAATGTGAAACAAAGTGCTGTATTTGGCACTAGCTTCACTTTCCAGGCAGACTTACAGTTCATCCTCTGATAGAGCACACTGAAATAGTATTGGCTATAACCAAGAGAGTTCAAGATAAAAAGTGTCAAAAGAAGGGCTTGAAATGTCCAAGATAGAGGTAACTGGGAAAAAGGCTTGCCTCTTTATATAGAAAAGCAGCTAGCAGCTAGCAATCCAGCACAAGAGGACCTCAGTTAAGAGGGCATACACATCACCCACATACATCACAGGCTACTGACATCGCCAAACACCTCTGGACTGATCAGACCCTAGTTAACTTTCCCCCGCTGTCACCGTCTACTGCATAGCAGCAAAAAAAGTTTTGGAAACATGCATCGTACAAGCTGAGAAAATGAATAAGTCTCTTGAATGATAAAGGACAAAGGCAATATCAAGTGTCTTGAAACCCTGAGACACTTGATGAGCCAAAGGTTTGGCATATGGCTTCCTCAAGTATTCCTCCTTTATTTTGTTGGGCCCCCTTCCACAGTCAAATAGGATAAACAAAATACCTTTGACATCTTCGACTTTTTGTGAAAGAGGAGTTCAAAGCGAAGTTTTGTGTGTGTATGTGTGTACATGGCATATGCATGCAAGGAGTATGCATAAGCAAGTGGACATTACTGCATCTTTTTTTTTTTGTTTCTGATTTTCTCCCACTAGATGGAGTTTGGTGACTTGGTAGTTCCTGCTGCAGCTGTGTTCCAATGCCATTATTAATGGTTATGTGTCTGTGTGCATGATGGTGATGTTAATAATCTGATTGTGTTCGGTTATGAGTTAATTTTCCTGTCTACAGTGAAACATATGTGTCAAGAATAGCCCAATACTCTGAGAAGGCAACGTATTGGTACTTGAGGATCTGTTCAAAAGCTACCTTGAGATTTTGAGGTCCCATATCTGGAAAGGCTAGTAAGCAGCAACTAACATTTTCATGAAAAAAGATGACATTAGAAAATAAGAAATATGCAGCTTGTTTCTTGAGGAACTTAAAACATTAGATGGAGTGGAACCAAAATACAGTATGACAGTCTGGGTCTCATGTCAAATGTGACACCAAATCTACCTCTGCCTCAGTGCAAAAGCTGCCAGTAGCTCCAGCCAGCAGATAATGCTGATTCATATGCAGAATCCTCAAGGCTGCATAGTTTGGATCTGTCCTTTGATTTGCTTAATTTCATCAATGAAAACTGAACCCAAGGATCAAACTCAAGGACTTGATTTACTCCCATCTCCGTTCTTTTTACCAGTGGAAGCAGAGGGTACAGGAGCCCCTTACTGTGGAAGGAGAATCCTACCCTGATTCAATCCTGCTTTCAACTTTGGCTTCCCTTCTTCTTCTTCTTCTTCTTCTTCTTCTTCTTCTTCTTCTTCTTCATTATCATCACCCCTGTTGTTCTTGTTCCTGGGCAGGATTAAGGTAGTGTTGCCATACAAACCTTTAAATTCTTCACTAATGAAGAATTCCTTGTAGTGCTTGAAATGTAGTAGCACGTGATGGTATCTTTCTTGATCTCATCATCATCATCATCATCATCATCACTCCTGTTGTTCTTGTTCCTGGGCAGGATTAAGGTAGTGTTGCCATACAAACCTTTAAATTCTTCACTAATGAAGAATTCCTTGTAGTGCTTGAAATGTAGTAGCACGTGATGGTATCTTTCTTGATCTTAACCTGTTGAAATGGCCTCCTTGACAACCTTTTGAACAGTTCCAGCCTCACAGGTTACATTAGCTTATATAGGAATTTCAGTAGGGTTAAGCAAGAGGGAAGGCAACTGGAGTGCTAAAAGAAAGAGTTTTAGCACAAGACTTATTTTATTAGTACGCTGAAAAAACAAGGTCTATGTCACTGTTGTACAAGGAGCACATCAAACTGCCTGTGCTCCTCTTGAAGAAGCCAGCCAGCCAGCTTCTTTTGGGCAGAGAGGTGGCATCAGCTGATTGCAGCTGCTTCCATTCACTTGCTCAGAGAAGTGGCTTTCTCTACTGAGGTAACTTCTGGATAAAACCTCAGGCACAGATACAAACTACATTCAGGCATGACAGGAAAGTCAGGGGTAAAAGCCACATCTTCTCCACCAGGTTGCTATCCTCAAAGAATAATGCAGGATAAATCACTCCCAGCACAAATGACAGGGAAATTTCATCTTGTATTTGTTCTTCATAATTTGCTTACAAATTATGAAGAAGGTACATAATCTTTCTGTGTTGCCACCTGAGAACTGCTTGGTTTATTTTATGTACTCCCAAAAGACTTGCCTCTCTTTTGACAGAGGATCTAGCCCTCGTCACCCATGCCTTGGACTATTGTAATGCATTTTATATCAGTCCACACAGTAAATCTAGCCAGCAATGAAACTGGGAGCAGCATTTGGCAGCTCAGTGTTACGGAGTACTTCTTCCAGGAGTTCACAGCACCAACCATTTTCAATCAGCAAAATCTGACGCTGCCATCCTCGTTTATTGATTTTCAGAGTGTGTTGCAAGAGCCGTTTATTTTCCTCACCTGTGTGCTGGTGAACAGAGGACAGTGCGCTGTAAGTGCTGGTGCCCAGGAGAAGTGGGTTTTCTGCGCACAGCCTGCACTGATGCTTCTTCGAGACCGTGCAAAGCAGCCATCGCCCCACACACAGGAGGTTTTAATGCGCATTCGCCATGCCCGCTCGTGTAGGTGCAGTGATCATGTGGCATGCTTGCTGCCCCACCGAGCCAGCCCTGGGAGGAGTGAAGCTCAGCCACGGGGAGCCACCGATGCTGACCTCCTGGAAACACCTGCCTCTGCAGAGGCCTCCCTTGGTGAAACTGCTGGTCTAGTAACCAGAGCTTCAGAAATGCACCTGGCTTGACCTTCCCACCACGCAGTGGAAGCTCAGCGCTGCCCATGAGAGGGCTGCGACTGCTGATAAGCTGGCGCCGGCGGTGCTGCCTCGTGCTTGCCCTCAGGTTTGCAAAAACAGGCGCTCACGGCAAGGGAGAGGGAGTCCTGGTGACCCCCGCCTCGCCGCTCGGAGCTGACCCGCAAAGCAGGCCCCCAAATCCACTCCTGGCAGAGCTGCCAGGGCCACGCAGAATTAGAGAAGGACTGACCCATCCTACTTCGTTTTAACGTCATCCTATAGCGTCATCCAGCTGTAACGTCATTCAGGAGAAGCGAGGCGGCGGGTGGCACCGTGCGGCAGAGGAACGGGGGTCAGGGCCGGGGGATGCGCTCGGGCGGGCGGGCAGTGGTGGGGGCGGGTGGCGCCCCTGCTGTCGCCGCGGGGGGGGGGGGGGGGGGGGGGCTGTGGGCTGTCGCCGCGGAGGGGGCGGCCGGAAGGGCGGCGCTCTCACACAATACACAAT